TAAGAGCACGCCACATTTAGAACTCAACAAACGCTTTCTGAACACGGTGTATCCAGAGATAAAATCTAGATATAAGATCTTGTTCAAACTGTGGCTAGACTGCCTTTGATCCTGACTGCAGCATGAATCCTGTGTGGTTTCACGCTACTATTTTGCCATCGCTTCAGAAAAAAAAAACAAAAATTGCTTGTCTTTATATAAAAGACAATACACAAAGAAACACCGATAAAAGTTAAAAAAACACATTCTCACACTTTCTTATCGTATCGATGACATACAATTTGCCCATCGGCGTAAGGTACTTGCCGATTGTTTCGCAAGGTACGCCGTACAGCGTACGTACAGGAAAGTAAAAGTATGTCATGCGGGGAAGCTCCTTTCGTGCACCCTACTAGCATCACAATACATTTATAAAAATATAACTTGACATGTTTGTGACATTTTTTTATTATTGTGTTGTGATAGTTTCATTGACATATCACTAGACATTTGCATGCTATTTAATATATGCGAAACATGTTAGTACTAGCACAGTCTCGAATAAACTATAAACAAAATATTATTAATTAAATTTTTAATGAATTGATATTCAATTCTTTTTTGTGAAATTACTCCACTAGTTTGTTATAATTAATAATACAAAGATCGAACACTCAGAAAAAATTCCTTCTAAAACTAAAAAGTTGTTGAAAAACCAAATACAAAGACACGACGCAAGCACATGAAAAAATTCGTGAGGTCCGTTGGTTCGTTCCGTGGCTTAGTTGGTATAGCGTCTGGCACGGTATGCAAGAAGACGTCGCGTCGGTTCGAATCCGACCGGATCGAAGGAATTTTTTCTGAGTGTTCGATCTTTGTATTAATAATTATAACGAAATATTATTATTTATAATTTTTAAGTTTGATCGAATGTCACGATGTGTGACCATCATGATATTCAATTATTTTTGTGAAATTACTACACTAGTTTCCTATAATTGTTAATTCATTTAATTTGCTTGACAAGTCCGTTGCGTATTCGATAAACGTATAGAGCTGTGTGCGTTTTTTTGCAGTACAAACATCGTGTAAATGGTTCTATATTATCTAATGTATGCGCCAGTGTTTATTCGGTAAGATTTATACTGCAAAAAAATCGAATCCGGCCGTATGTAAGAAATTTTTCCCAAATGTTCAATCTTTGTATTAAACTTAATGTGATTTATGCATTGACTTACAAATAAATGGACGACGGGTCTAATACAAAAACCACGAAAAAAATGTCCCAAGTCAACCTATTCGAAATTTAAATTGTAATGTCATCGCAGTATCGCGCTGTTAGTCGAACAAATGAAGACTAAAGCGGAGTGTCGCGCTCTGTATACGATTTTAGCGCCTTACAAGTGCGGACACTTTTTAGCGCGGACCCGACGTCCATATAATTGTAAGTCAATGGATTTATGTTAAAAATAATAATATTTGTTCTATGAAAAATACTCAGACACTACTAATAACTTTTTTATACAAAAAAAGACCCCAAAAAGTTTGTGGAATTAGATAAATTTGCCAAGTTTTATTGAAACCGTCTAACAGAAAGTGCGTGAAGTCCAGTGAACCGGATTCATCCCCTAATTTACCATCTTTAGAGGTGGAATATTTCCTTCAAATTGAAATGGAACCACTACTAATTTACTTTACCATGACAGTTGCAGCACCTCTTCGAGTATTAAATCGCTAAGACCCGAGGAGCACTGCCACTACGCGCGTCATCCTGAGACATATTGACAAGTTCCATGTGCCTGTTAATTCACCAGTACCTTACTCTTAATAACCGGAAAGCACTAATGTTTACATGCTTAAATCATCGTCAACACCGACTTTCGCGACACATACGCATCAATATTTACCTAATGTTTTGTACAGGGTGTACTCCTGCGGCACTTTATAGCTAGTCGATCGTCATACTTATCTGACTGATTATAGATAAACAATTTAACTGGAGACCGTATATAGATCACGTACGTAACAAATTAAGAGCTTTTGCGGCTAAACTGTCTATATTGAAATACAAACTTCCATTTATGTCACTCAGAATGATTTATATATCTCTTCTCAAGCACTTTTGAGACCTACTTGAACAATATCTATAAATTGCAGCTATGTTTACTAAAGTTAATTGTTCCTTATAACGTAAAATCAAAATTTAAGGATAACTATTACAAATTATTTGGTTACTGTAGACTTTGAAATGTATTTGACAAAGCTAAAATGCTGTTCTTATGGCAGGAATATGATCACTTCAAACACAATCTCTGAAAACAAATGCGCTCTGAACAATTTGCGCTTTTATACATATCGACATATACTGTCTGTATTAGCCCACAGCAGACTCACACAGAGACATTTCTACTTTCTCGGTAGCTATGTATATTATAATTTGAAAAAAATACTAAATATTTATCCGTTGAGCAAAGCAGAATGTAAAAAAATACTCTCCGATTGACTCACCAAACTGGACTACGATAGTACAGAAACCATTATCACCACTTCCTAAGGTTTAAAAGCTTAAAATGTAGGTAACATGCACACATACACACAAACACACACACACACACACACACAAACACACACACACACA